CATGATTCAAATTTTCTTAATGGCCGAATTATATAACAATTAACATAATTTAAATTTTGATGACTCTTTCTCAAAGAACACAAAATTAAACCACACATGCTGACACCACACATGGTATGGCCGAATCACATATCACATATATGATTAAATTTTTTAACAAAATTTCATGTCTTTCTCATGGAACAATTCACAGCGAAAATTAAGAAAACAATCAAGTTACTCATAGTACCCCTCATGGCCGATTTTATCCCTTTCAAAAAGGTGTTTCTTTTAAAACTTTCACAAAGAAAAGAAACAAAACCATGATCACATACAGACACATGAACATAGCAATCACATTAACATGTTCATAAAATAAAAACTTTAACGATTTAAAGCATAGTATTTCGAAATCCATATGCTATGATTCAAGTTGGAATTCTTTAAAGAATTTTGACCGTAAAGAACAAGTTTTTACAAACAAGGTACCATCACCCGCTGATGGTAAAGCAACCGGGCTCTGATACCATTTGAAAGAAACTGACCTTGAAGGTCGAGGCATGTGAGAGGGAAAAACAAAATTTTTCGAGCGGAATAACACATACCATATCAAGAAACATGCTTTAGGGCATGGATGTTACCTTGTTTGCTTTCCAAAACTGGAGGATGATCAAGATGAGGCTTGAAGATGCAAGCCCTCTAATGTTGATCCACACCACCCTTTGTCAAGACGGAAGAACTCTTCTTCAAGGCCACCAACGAAAACACCAATGGAGGCAAGCTATGCGCCCAATGTGTGAAGGAGGAGGCTAGGTCAAGGTGTTTAGAAGAGTGTATATTCAGCAAGAATAGACACAAAAGTGGCGCATGGTTTTCTTTTAAAAAGGCTAGGTTATTTCGAAACTCTCTTAAGAAAAACCTAACAAAAGGAACCCACAAGGAGATGAGAGAATGAGTTAATTAAAATCTAATTTTCTTCACTCAAATAAGGCCCTATATATAGCGCACACTAGGGGGATGAGTGGAGTTGTTGCAAAATTCAAATCTCATCAACAACCTCCTCTCACATCCTCATGATATCAAGTGAATATCTCAACAAGAATCTGACTCAACAACCATCATATGGCCAGCCATATGGTGCGCCCCACTTGGCCTCATAACAGTTCAGATACATTGAACAGTTGCATTCAAACTTGAACCAACTGTCTCATTTATTCTCTCAACAAACCAAATCTGACTGGAGCTCATTTGGTTGATCCTATGACCATCATCAGATACCTAAATCAGCGCCCCATATCCTCACTAGAAGATTCTCAAAGATCTCCTCTTGATATTTGGGATTTGTTCCAACAAGATCTTATCTTATCCTTTTGTTATGAAACAACTTTTCATAGCCAATTCAAATTCGAATTCAAACATTTGAATTCAAACGTTCAAATATTTAAATTTTAAATTCAAATTCAAATTCCAAATTCAAATTCAAAATTCAAAATTCAAAATTCAAAATTCAAAATTTCAAATTTCAAATTTCAAATTTCAAATTCAAAATTCGAATTTCAAAATTCAAATTCAAAATTCAAATTTCAAATTCAAAATTCAAAATTTAAACATTTGATAATTAATTTAACTAATTAAATTAATTAGTAATGTCTTGGACCATCCAAGCCCATTAACTAACCATGCACCCTTTTTTCCTTTTGGTGGGCTTCCAAACTTCTTCTTGGGCTAACAACCATTATTAGGCCCAATACCTTTAATGCTATATTGTCATGACAATAAGGTGTTAGTGTGTGACCCATTAGGCCCAACATAGCCACTGACATAAATGGGCTTGGGCCCAATAAGCCCACAACCCATCTAATGACAACACAGAGCACTAGCAATGCTTTGTTGCCGCAGAGCTAGTTAGGTTAATGACATGATCATCCTATTACACATATTTGGTTGCCGTATGTATTTCCTTTCGTCTCGGTTACCTTCCCATAAAACCTAGGGTAAGGAAGCGTATCAACCCTTGCGGTTTAGGGTAAGCTTTATTTGAAATAGGGAATCTTCAATTTACTGACTCTAAAGGCAGATCATCTCATGATCTCTTTTACTATGCATAGATTCCCGAGTCCCTGTAAATGTCATCCCGATTTCTCCGGTTTACAGATAACCTAATCTCTCACAGAGATCCGACGAATTCCTTCAGCTTATCACCCTAGCCCTGTGCTCTTTCAGGACAAGCCCAACAGTATACCTATGAGTCTCCATGTTTCAGGCAGACGAGGTATACAGTCAAAGCATGCCTTCTAGAACACAGTCTAGGTAATAACTTCTGGTCTAAGGAAAAACATACCCAAATATAAAGAGACTACTCTAATGATACTTTCTGTGAGATTTCCTCACAGAGTCTCTTTTGTGGATCTGTTCAGTGCGAGCTATACCGTTATAGATCCACCCACGACTTTAGCTAAGACATCTCCATATCTGTAGCTCATGAGGTCTTTACCTTGCATCCGAATACAAGTAGATAAGTCGTGCTAGTCTTACCCGAGATCACTGATCCCCATTTTCAGTGTCTCTAGACTAGGAACATAAAATTAGGAATAAACATCCAATATCCTTGAATCCTCATGATCGTGATCTCATCACAGATACTCAAGAGATACCTATTTTATTCCAAGGGGTTTATCCAGTTAACAGTAATATCAAGATAAAATATGAAACAGGATAAAGAATGCTTTTATTTATTTGCGACAATACAAAGGTCTACATCTATGTCCTTATTTAATCATAAGATTGTCTCTAGGACACCCAAATACTAACAAAACTATTGCTTCTTTAGAAAAACAAATTGCCCTAATCCATGCTTGTTTAGAGGATTCTTGAGTGCTTTCATGTCCTTATACACACTGAGAAGTTGAAGCAAGTCAATTGTTGGTACCACACATTTGGATCACGCCTACTCGAGCAGTCCCACATTAAAAAGGTGGGGAATGTGTGGCAATAGAACGATAATTTGGGTATTAAAACTCCTATTTATTACTTGATGCGTGCACTTGCGCAATTGGTCATCGTTTTGGGAACGAATTGAGTTTTCCTTGATTGATTGCATAAACGACTTAATAGTGATCAATAATAATACTAATAAAGGAAGAAAGCTTCAAATTAGTTGCCTCAAACCACTAATTACTGTGTCTCCTTGTAATGCCTTTTTAACTAACTTCCTGTGTATATAAATAAAAGAAACTAGAAAGCTTCAAATTATACAAATAAATTCCATTCTTTGATTTATTGTTTTAGCCACTTCTTATATACATGTCACTGTTGCTTTGAGTCTAGAGCTAAATGTGACTTCAAGAGACATGGTCATTGACAATGTTTCAAACAAGTGGCTCGTTTCTATGTTTCAATTTTCCAAGAGAAGCTACCTTTGCTGACCTATATTTATGGGGTGGCTTATGTGTTGCGTTTGCAACTTGGAGTTATTTCCATGATTTACTTAACTCGGACAATGTCAGTGCTTAATCAATTGAATTGAGGTGTAGTGGTCAAAGAACTAGTAGATTGGTTGTACAATAATACGATGCACGACTTGAAAAGTAATATATAATAATAATAATATGCATGTCTTGGTAAGCGTGACATGTAATATTCATGTATTGGGCCAATGTAGGGGTGTCAAAACGGATTGACACGACACGAATAGATCAACACGAACACGACACGAATTTTTATTCGTATCAAAATCTTCAACACTAACACGACACGAATTTTTTGCAGGTTGACACGACACGACACGAATAACATGCAAAAAAGGGGTCAAAACGGTAATTGATAAAAAAATGGGTCGAAATTAAAATTTTTTAAAAAAGAAATCATAAAAAAATAAAAATAAATATATTAAAAAAATATGGGTCAACACGAACACGAATACATCAACACGAACACGACACGATTTTTTTTGAGGGTCAACCCGAACACGAATTTTCGTGTCGTGTCGTGGGTCGACTCCTAGGCCGATGCAGGGTGCACATTCCCCTTGTTGTGTGACAAACACATCTTCTTGCATTAGTTTGGTAAATTATTTCACCATTGCATTATTTTAATAACTTGCATTATTGTGGGAAAAAGTCATTCCTCTTCTTTGGGAATATGCATTTGGAAACAGTCTATGGATTATTTGCATATCCTTTAAAATATGACTGATCTCAAAAAAAAAAAAATGTCTATTCATTCATAAATTCAGTAACAACATGTTATTAATTAATTAAAAGATATGCATATTCAATAAATGAAAAGTCATATTTGTTAATTGATAATGAAAGGATATACCAATTCGTTATTTAACATTCTCTCTTTAATTAAAGTATATATTTATTTATGAAAAGACATAATTGCTGACTTTCATTGAGATCACACGCAATTATATGGAAACAACACGTTCCCATTCTTAGCAACTTGAGAATTTACTCTCCTCCAAAATATGTTTTATTTTTATTCTAACTTCTTTTGAAATAAATTGAGAGATTTAAACGTTCCTCAGATTTTCTGTTTAAATACGTATTAAAAGATCCTAAAGTGTTAGGTTGTTGTACATTGGGAGGTTAGAAAAAATAAAATAAAATAAAATAAAGAAAGTTTGGGAAGCAGAATTTAACGTGAAGGTGAATCTAAGAAGTAAGAAGAAGGAACCCATCCTCCATCATCCAGTTCATGTGATTTGGCTTATCCTAAAAAGCAAAAATCCACATAACATTAAGTAACTGAGAGTGAAGCGTGAACAAACAAGAAGCGCAGAATATTATGTGAGCCAAAAAATCCCAACACTTCCCTCCAACTTCCTCAAAACGACACCGTACCCGTGTTCCCAAACAAAAAAAATCAAACCAAACCAAACAAGAAGCGCAGAATATTATGTGAGCCAAATAATCCCAACACTTCCCTCCAACATTCCTCCGAACGACACCGTACCCGTGTTCCCAAACTTAAAAGACCAAACCAAACCAAATCACCTTCTCCCTCCATTCATTATCATAGCCCAAAATATAAATACAAAAAGGCACAGCCAGTAATGATAAAAACCATAAAAGCTCCTCTTTTTCATTTCGCATTCAATTACATTCCATTCCGTTTCATTTCATTTCAATTTTCAAATTTAAAGTAACGAAATCTGAGAAGAGAAGCAAACTGATTTCCAGTAATGGCAGAACAAAGGAACCGATGGAGCTGGGATGTCACCGGCTTCGAGCCATGGAAGTCTTCGTCGTCGCCGCCGTTTCCGCCGCCGTCTCCGTCGGCCTCGGCGCCTGTTGAGCAAGAAGTTCGGAAACCTAGTTCGCCGTTGGTGAGGAGGTACTCCATTTCTGCTTCATCCGTTCTTCCACAGCCCAAGCACTCCATGGCCTCCAAGGTTCAGTTGTTGAGGGACAAAGTCAAGGTAACGCGTCTTCATTTCCATGATTAACTGTACTGTAGCGTCTTTAGTGGTTCCTGCTTCAGTGCCACTGTTCATAACGGCGACGTTTTAGCTCTTGTTTCCGCAGTTGCTGTGCGGTTTAAGGTGCATCATGTGACAGTGCTAGTTGACTTTTACAGAGTTAATATGAGCACGTTGAGCAACTTGTATTGATTTTAGTGCTTGTTGATTCGGTGGTCTTGCGGTGTCAATGTTTTGAATTTAGGCCCATGGTGTGTCGGGGAAGGACTTCTAGAATAATACGAGCAAGAAGAATTCCGCTTAGGAAGAATTTACGATCAAACCTAGAGCTAAATTGTTGTTATATTAAAACAGAGTACAAACAGCCCCCATTTGAAAAAAAACTTCATAGAGTTTTCTAATTCGATTTGTTTCCTACTTTCCCATATTTGGCATGTAACAAGTGTGAGCTAAATGATTAGATTCTTGCGTAATGAAATAATTGAAGTATATATTACTGAAAATTTCTTTTTTGAACTTAAGGATGGATTGGGCCGATTTGGTGTTTGGGTAGTTTGGTATTAGGTTGGAACCTCCACGCACCATTTATCGAGAAAGAAAGAAAGAAATTAAGATGGCTAGAAGTTGTGCATCTATGGAAATGGAATATCTTTTTATACTATTTAAAGTACTTGCATATTCTTACTGGCTAGTCTTGCTGGTTTGAGTTGTTTTTATGTGGTATCCTTGCTGATTTATTTTGGATCATGCGATTTTTGTTTTATTCATGGGTTAACAATTGCGTCAGATATTTTTTCACAGCTTGCTAGAGAAGACTATTTGCAGTTAAGACAAGAAGCAAGTGAACTTCAAGAATATTCAAATGCAAAACTTGATCGAGTTACACGATATCTTGGTGTTCTTGCTGAGAAAACCCGCAAGCTAGGTAAGAAACTAAATTTGTCTTGACTCTTGGCTCAGGCTAGATAAGCAGAAGGTTTTTGAACATTTTTCTCCTAAATTCTTTTGCTTGATTGGATCACTTGATTTCAGTGACAAAATGAGACTCAGTCTTAGCATTTTGTTTCTTGAAGTACATGATTATGTGAGATTTTATCTTCTTTAATTTTTCTTTTGGCGTACCAAAAAGTTTAGGGGGGAAAGGGAACTGATTGTATCTTTTGTTTTTTGTTTTCTTTTTCTTTTTGCTTTTGCATTTTTTTTTCTTTGCTCCTTTTTTTTTTTAAATGTGTGTGTGTGTGTGAAGTTATTGTTTCTGTCATTAAATTTTGAATTTGTGGTCTACTTCTGCATTTCAGATCAAGTTGCCCTTGAAACTGAAGCAAGAATATCTCCGGTGATCAATGAGAAGAGAAGATTGTTCAATGATTTATTGGCATCTAAAGGTAAGTGCTCGGTAGAAATTTTCCTTTATTATTGGGCAGTTTCTTTATATCCACTTTGTTTTTTGTTTCCCAAATACACTCTTCATACATTGTTTATACAATAACTGGAACTGAAACTAGATGGATAAACAACCTTCCTATTATTTTACCTTATTCAAACATAAGCATTTTTGAGCTGAAAACATCTATCTAGCTATTAATATTATTTGCAGGAAATGTACGAGTATTCTGCCGGACAAGGCCGTTATTTGAAGATGAAGGTCCTTCAGTTGTTGAATTTCCAGATGACTATTCCATTCGTGTAAATACTGGTGAAGAATCCTTGTCTAATTCCAAGAAAGATTTTGAATTCGACAGAGTTTATGGACCTCATGTTGGACAAGGTGGAATGGTTCTATTCTATATTACTATCTTTTTTGAGTTCAAATATGGTCTCTGATATGCAGCTTACTTATTTGGCCCTTTATATTCTGTTTGTAGCTGAGTTATTCACTGATGTTCAACCACTGGTGCAGTCAGCTTTGGATGGATATAATGTTTCCATATTTGCATATGGACAGACACATTCCGGGAAGACACACACTATGGTTGCTCTTTCTTTCTTTCGCTCTGTGTGTGTGTGTACAGATCACTTCCCCTCTCCAAAAAAGAGTTGGATGAGGGTCTCAAATTCAATGTTGTCTAACAATTGAAATGGGTGCCCTATGTGTGAAATTTCTTATTTTTACATGTTTTTTTTACTTCTTGAGTCAATAATGTTTGGCCTGATTAATTGCTTTATTGATGGTCATTCATTATCTCCAGGAAGGATCGAGCTATGATCGGGGTTTATATTCTCGTTGCTTTGAGGAGTTGTTTGATTTAGCCAACATGGATACAACCTCTACTTCTCGATATGAATTCTTTGTTACTGTTTGTGAGCTCTATAATGAACAGGTCTCTTTCTGTTTCACATACCATTTATACCCTTTCTGTTGTGTCTCTGGTTTTCATCCTGGTTTTTGGTTCACTTAGGATTATTAAGGTTTTCATATAGCCTTCTTTTTTGTGCTTTCAGACAAAGGATCTACTTTTGGAATCAGGGAAAAGCATGCCTAAGATCTGTTTGGGATCACCTGAATGTTTTGTAGAACTGGTGCAGGAAAAAGTTGATAACCCTCTGGAATTCTCTACCGTTTTAAAAGCTGCATTTCAGAGTCGGGGAAATGACTCGTTAAAGATTAATGTATCTCATTTGTATGGTCTAAATTCTATGCCCACTTTATGCATGGTTATTTGTACTGTGGCTTTATTTATGCTGTTTTAAGTTGCATGATAAACTTCTATTGGTGGCATACTTTCACCAATGGAGCTGGTGAGATCAATTCACAATGAAAGATTGCTTTGTTGGACGTAATCTTCTATGCTAAAGTTTGTTTGTTTGTTTGTTTCTTTTCTTTTCTTTTTCTACTTCATGTGACTCATGAAATAACAATAGGCAGCAGAAAATATTAATGGCTGAATTTTAAAAGATTAATATTCTCTTCAAATATATCACTGTGATATTATATCAGAAAGAAGTTTGTTAAAGTTTTTTGTGGTTATTACTATTTTGACATTTATGTGTGCATGTATTTGCTGGTTTTTCTGTGAGTGCTTTACACTGACCCAGCTCTGTGTATTTCTATTTCATGCCTTGCTGTGTCAGGATTGTCACAATACACATATTTTATAACAATTTGATCACTGATGAAAGCTCATATAGCAAACTCTATCTGGTTGACTTGGCTGGAAGTGAAGGTCTAATAACAGAAGATGATAGTGGGGAGCGTGTCACAGATTTGCTGCATGTTATGAAGTCACTTTCAGCGTATGTAATTTTAATGCATTATTTTTCTCTTCATTAGCAAATTTATCTTTATTTGCTTAACAGTCAGTCAGGTGTTTGTCCACCCATGTCTTTAGCTGTCAATGCACTTAGAGTATTCTCTGTTATCCTAGACTTGGTGGTGTGTCAGTTTTCATTACACGTTGCAAATGGTACTAAGTTAGGTAACCAGACTTGTTATATATTTGTGTTAGAGATATATAAAACCATTAAAGAGACCTTCACTTAACAGCTTAAACTTTTGGGTTGAATTTGTTCTTTACATGGTATCATAACCTTGGTGTCATAGGTTCGATCCTCACCGCCTCCCACTTTCTCTTGTCGAATTTCTTAGCACAGGTAGGTGGGCCTGTGCATTGTCCATCCTTCAAATCTAGTGGGCTCTCGTGTGAAGGAGCGTGTTAGAGATATATAAAACCATTAATATAGCCTCACCCACTAACTTAAACTTTTGGGTTGAAATGGTTCTTTACATATATGTTTCGGCTTGGGGAACAAATCTGTAGATAGTTAGTTTCCTATAATTGAATGTAGGTTTGTGTTTCCTTTATGGTGGTTGAGCAATACACTTAAAATTAAAGGATATACTTCATGTTAGTGTGTTACCTGATTCATTGTTTCCCTTTATCTACGGCAAACTGGATTGTACAACTCCAATGCGAAATTGTTCAAAATGGTGATCCCAAGTGAAAGAGGCGAGGGTTTCTCATTAACCTTTCTCTACAAGGAAGATAGATGGACAACCATAGTGCCTCTCTGCTTACTGGATCACTGCCAATTAGATTCAAAGCATGTGAAAGAAATAGGGCGGGGGTGAAGAATCTTTTCAAGTCTTGATCACCAGTTAACTTTTGTTTAGCCCTTCGTATGGAAGTGATAAATGGAGGAGTCAAAATGCATAGTCAGTTAAGAAGAGGTCCAGCTCATACATTGTTCGGAGACTGAGCATTATGGCAAATGCTTCTTGGGGAGCGGCAGAGGACCCAATTCACAGATGAACGAGATACTACCAAACCATCCCATGTTATCCAAAATAGACTATTATTTGGTTTTTTTCCCCCTTCTTTTAGGTACAAGGCAATAGTTTTGATGATTTATAAGTATTAGCCAAAGCTGTCAGAATATATTATTAGGGTTTGTAAATTAAGAATTACATTTTTTATTTTCAATAATAATATATCATTCACAAGAATTATAGATAACAAACAAATAAAGTATAATGAATTACATAAAATGGAATATATAAAAAAAATGAGGACTTGTATGTGTAGAATGCTTTTATAGGCTTGGCCTTAGTAATTAATGTTTTTAATAATCAAAAGGTTGGAATATGGTGGTTGGGAATTGATAAGAACCTTGAGTTGCACCACCCAAAAGCTAGCTCAAAGGATGAGAGTGCCCATGGCCTTATAAAGGTCATCTTAGTCACCCATGCAACCAATTTGGGACTCCAATGCCCATACATTGCAAATGGATCGTAAAATTCCACCACGCTTAGCAGCCCAAGCCCGGGGTTCCAAATCTAAGGGTCCAATCCCTGGGTTCCAGTTCCAGGTTCCAATCTGTGAAACATAGTGGGTGCTCTTATACCACTTGATAAGAACCTTGAGGTGCACCACCCCAAAACTAGCTCAAACGGTGGGAGTGCCCAAGGCCTTATAAAGGCCACATTAGTCATCCATGCAACCAATGTGGGACTCCAATGCCCATACATTGCAAATGGGACATAACTGGAATACACAAGGGTATTCTTTATGTTAGTGTTAGTGTTACTTGATTCCCTGTTTACCCTATCAACTACAAATTGGATTGGACAACTCCAATGCGACATATTCACAATCTGGATTGTTCAAAATGGTGATCCGTATTGAAAGAGTTAAAGATCTGGTTAACCTTTCTCTGCAAGGAAGATAGGGGGAGAACTATTGTACCTCTCTGCTTACTGTGATCTAAATATGGTATTCATCGTAGTCTACCCACATGTATTCAGAATTATACTAAGTGTCTTACTTGTACCTGGTCTGTTCTGTGTACTGTGGTAAACCATATATAGGTACCCTTCTATGCATCAGCAAAACTGAAACGTATTCTGAATCTACCTTCCTCCTCTCACATGTATAGCTGTTTGACTATTTTCTTGTCAAATATATAAATTTCCTTTTTAATTCATATTGTAGTTATGTGCAAATTGAGTGAAAAAAATATGGTGCATTAGAAATTTCATTGTCTAACTTCTTGTGGCATTTTAAAATGTCTTTGCAGGTTGGGAGATGTTTTGTCTTCTTTGACATCCAAGAAAGATGTTATTCCTTATGAAAATTCAGTGCTAACTAAATTGCTTGCAGATTCACTTGGTATTGATTTTTTCTTCCCTCTTTTTATCTATGACCTTATGGTGGCATATATTTGATATCTCAGTTGTTAAACCTAAATAGAATGTTGATGTAATAAGCTTTTAATGGTTAGGTGTAATTTTTTCATGCTAGCGTGCTATCATGTCAGCTACTTAAATACCCTGCCTATGACCTTAATCCATCATTGTTTTCTAATTAGATTGTTGTTAAAATTAATTCAGATTGGGTTCTCATGAAGCTGCTGTCTGATTTTGACTTTGTTTGACCGTCTGCGAAACTATTCCCTTATAAGCATCAATGCTTAAGAGGATGCTTGTTTGTATTTCTTGATTATATTTGGATTCTATGTGCAGAATTGTTAGTTGCTTTCTACTCAAGACAGCTCCTTTTTTAATCACCCATCTGTTAAAGAGAGACAATTATTGTTTCTCTCCCTGATAAAATCAAACAGTTTATTAAAGGTAGAAGGAATTTGTACTGTTGTAAATATAAAATGAATAATTGTGAATTATTGTACATTTGTTTTCCATTAGATAAGACAGATTATGATAGGATAGATTTGTGACTGATTAATCTTATTTGTTTCCCTACATTTAGCTCCTTGTTGGGAAATCAATTACTCATATCAGCCTATATTTTGTAACACTTTGTAAATGAAAAATTAATCAAATATTTCAGTATTCCAAATTTGTGTGGAATTCTGTGTCTCATCTGACCACACATAGGTTCTATTTATAATAATGAAATTGTAATTACATGATGGGGTTGGGCGGCCTTTCCCTATTTACATGATACTCTAGATGATATTATACAATTTCATAAATATCCTCCTACTTATATTATAACCATATTCCGTATTTCAAATTTCATCTTTGTATTAGAGCTCATTATCTAGGAATCTCAACTCTCTTTCCACACATTAACCCTAGCTCTAGCCTGCCTTCATCGTAGCCTTGTAACAATCTCCTTCATTGTGTCAAAGTTTGCACCTTCACCACCCTCGAGCTACTGGCCGCTGCTTTCCACCACCATTAGCCGTCTATAGTTCTTCTTCCTTGAATCGATGAAGCCACCATTAAGTATGTTGTTCCTCGGAGATCCATTGCCGAAAAGTTGCCCATCCATCCTTATACGCGTCTACGCACTCTGCCCGTCAAACCCATATGCTGGCAGCCTAGTTTGCATGTGGCGACATGTCTGACTACCATTGCCTGTACCGCAAGTCCCGAGTCAACTTAGGTGACCCCCTCTCTCTCTCCTTTCATCCTATCCAACGTCACTTGTGAGCTTTCTCTATCATCCTCTCCTTGGCCTAGCCCCCTGTGCACCATTCTAGCCCCCACTCCTCAGTCTATTATGTCCACACAACTCACTCCTAATGACCTACCAGACTTGCATCTTGTTAGAGAAATATAATATAAAATCATTAATGTGGCCTTCTGCTAATAGCTTAAGGGTTGAATTGGTTCTTTGTATTATACCGAACCTTTGTGACCAAGTGGTCATGGGTTTGATCTAACCATCCCCCATTCTATCGATAAATAATTAAATATTGTGGAGTTTCTTAGCATTGGTAAGTGTGCTTGTGTATGGTCTATCTTTTAAGCCCAATAAGCTTTGGTGTGAGGGGCCATGTTAAAGAAATATAATATAAAATCTGACCAAGTGGTCACGGGTTTGATCTAACCATCCCCCCATTCTATCAATAAATAATTAAATATTATGGAGTTTCATAAAATTGGTAAGTATGCTTGTGCATTGTCTACCCTTCAAGCCAAATAAGCTTTGGTGTGAGGGGCCGTGTTAAAGAAATATAATATAAAATCTGTCTTTCACCTAATAGCTTAAGTCAAATGCTTGAACAACTAAACTGAAGCTGCTAAACCAAGTCTGAGGTGATTGTTCATTCAATGATTTTCAAAGTTTGCACACCAACTCAGACTTTCCTTGAGCAATAAAGTGGGGCGGTTGTTCCTTGTAAACCTCCCTCCTATAAATCATCATGTAGAAAGGTTTTCTTAGTGTCCAATTGATACAGGGTCAGTGACAAATGACAGCCATGGCGAAGAATAATCAAACAGGCCATTTTGTATGACATTAGACTTGTATTCATTATTGCTTGGAAAAGTTATGTCCCTGGGTAATGAGAAAAAGGTACCATGTAGCCTCTAGAACATCAACATCAATAACTCATTCAGGGAAAAACAGGTTAGGGTTGGTGATACATGAATCCAAATAAAAAGCAAGAAAATATGAAGGGAAAAGAATAGGGGAAAAAATGAATTAAAAATAAATAAATAAAGTAGAAATAGAATGGGTAAGAAAGAAAATAATAGAAATAGAAATAAATAACTAAAAGTGAAAAATAAATAAGAGATAAAAGATAAATTAGATATTAAGATAATTAAATAGATAAATAAATAAATAAAGAGAAATGTTAGAAATATTAGATATGATTAGATTTGAATAGATTATTTCCTATCTGTAAATATTCTGGGCTTCTCACTTAAGCCCAGTAGGGTCTCTATATATTGTAACTCTTTGTATTAGAACAATACACTATTGAATACAATTTACCTTCATATTATTTAAGTTGGTACTAGAGCTTGTGTTCTGGGAAACCCTGCTTCCGCAAACTCTGCCGTGCATCATACCGGCAACCTTCTTTTCACTCCTAACTCCTATTTAGTCACCAATTTTTTGTTCTCAACCTCGTATAATCAGAAAAAAACATCGTCAGCCTCCGTTCATCGCCGGAAACCACCATCCAACCACTGTCCGCTACTGTTCACCGCCGTCCGGCGACTTTTCAGGCCAACCACCACGCGATCAGGAGCGGCTCAGGCAGGCGACCTTCTCTGTGAAAGCCGCGTGGTCATCGGAGAACCCACGCGCAGGTGGAAGGTTCCGGCGGCTGAAGCACTTTTCTGGCGCATGAGCCACCGTCCGGCCACCGTTCCAGGCCGGACCACCACCGTCTTGCTCGCCTCCTTGTCCTCTTTCCATATCTGGTCTCCGTTCGTTGTGGGTCCCATCCGTTAGGAAGATATCGACGAAAAACCCGCTGTTTGGACGACTTTTTGCAACGTTTTTGCGCGATTTCTCGCTTTCTTGCAGTTCTTTGCTATTTTCTGGTCATTTCCTTCATTCTTTGTGGTGGAGGGCTCAAGTAAGGCGCTCAACATCTCCAGTTCTACTCCATCCATTACAACGATGAAACTAACCGGATCTGTTACTTACAAGACCTGGTCTACCTCCGTTAAGATCTGATTTACTGGTCAGGGACATGGTAAACATCTCAAGACGAAGTCTGCTGATATTCCAAAGGATCAGATTCTTGAATGGGAAAAGATTGATGCTCAACTCGATCCAGCAATTATAGATATTTTCATCCCCTTTGAGACTTGCTGTGACATATGGGAGGAAGCCAAAAATCTCTATACCAATGATATTCAACAGCTTTATTCCATTGTTTCTCAGATAATGGATTTGCGCAAATCACCAGATGCTCGAATGGAGACTTATATTGGTAAGATTCGTTCTTTAATGCAGGAATTCTTAGCTATGTTACCTGATGTTGCAGATGCATCAGCGTACAAAAAGCAGGTGGAGCGCTTCTTTACGGTCGTAACCCTTTCCGGCCTTTCAGAGGAATTAGAAAGCGTTCGTGAAAATATTCTAACCAGTGCTGAGACTCCTAGCTTGTCACAAACTTTCCAGTGCCTTCTGAATCTCAAGGATAAATCCGCATCACCCACTCATGTGCCAGACACCAATTCAACTGCGTTTGGTTCTCGTGCCAATGATTCTTATTGGAACAGTGGACGCGGTCGCGGACGTGGCCGTGGACAGGGTGGCCGCGGACAGAGGCCTCGTTGCAATTATTGTCAGAACCTTGGACATTATGAAGAACGTTGCTATAGGAAGTACCCTCACTTGAAGCCACCAACTGCCAAGCTCAGACTGATGCTACATCACCCTCTACTGGATTCGTTACTCTTTCGAATGCTGACTATGAGGCACTTCTCAAAAGGGGTTGTTCTCAGCCTCTTCGTCAAGACACTGGTAATCATGTTGCTTGTCTTTCTCAATCATCTCTTGGACCCTGGATAATAGACTCAGGTGCTACTATTCACCTTTGTGGTAATAAGGATCTCTTTACTTCACTTTCTTATTCTAATAATCTACCTTCAGTTACTATTGATGATGGCACTAAGGCCCCTGCTCGTGGAATTGGGCAAGCCAACCCAACTCCCTTTTTGACTTTGACCTCTGTTTATTATATACCTGGCATTCCCTTCAATTTAATCTCTGTTAGCCAGCTGATTCATTCTCTTTCATGCACTATTAACTTCTTTAAACAATCTTTTTCTATGCAGGATTCGGGTACGGGGAAGACGATTGGAGCGGGCATTGAGTCACGAGGTCTCTACTATCTAACTGCACCACCTTCTCCAGTGGCATGCTCTCTCACGGAGTCTCCTGAATTAATCCACTGTCGTCTAGGTCATCCAAGTCTTCCCAAGCTTCAGCATATGGTTCCTTTTTTATCCAATCTTAAGTCTTTAAACTGTCAGTCTTGTCAGCAAGGAAAGCACACTCGCTCCTCCTTTGCTAACAGAGTCAATAAAAGAGCTGATGCTCCCTTTTCTATTGTTCATTCTGATATTTGGGTTCCAAGTCGAACTTTGTCTGTTTTGGGTTTTCAGTATTTTGTAACCTTTACTGATGATTTTTCTCGCTGTACTTGGATTTATTTAATGAAAATCCGTTCTGAATTATTTTCAATTTATAAAAAATTGTGCTGAAATAAACACTCAATTTGGTGCTTCTATTAAGATATTGCGTAGTGATAATGCAAAAGAGTATATGTCTCTTGATTTTTCTAATTTTTTGGAAAAACATGGAACGTTACACCAGACCACCTGCCTACACACTCCACAACAAAATGGAGTGGCTGAACGTAAAAATAGACATCTGGTTGAAACTGCGCGTACTTTTCTAATTCATATGAATGTTCCACTCCGTTTTTGGGCAGATGCTATTATCATCTCTTGCTTACTTATCAATCGCATGCCTTCCTCTGTGCTAAATAATGAAGTTTCACATAGTGTATTATTTCCAGGAACACATTCCTATCCTCTGCCTCCACATATATTTGGATGTACTTGCTTTGTTCACGATCTTACTCCAGGAAAAGACAAATTAACATCCAAAGCCTTCAAGTGTATTTTTCTTGGATATACTCGTTTTCAAAAAGGGTATCGCTGTTATTCTCCTGACCTTAAGTGTTATATTGTTTCTGCTGATGTCACTTTTCTTGATCAACAACCTTTTCATTCTATCCCGTCTCAGATATCACAGGTTGATCAGGTTCTTCCTGTTCCGTTTCTTGACTTATTTTTACCAGCTGCAGGAGACTCTATCCCAGAGGAGCAACCTCTTGCCTCTATCCCAGAGGACTGCTCTTTTCTCACCTATCAACGTCGTCAGACTACGCCTCATGCGGACTTGACCCTTGCTGACTCATCGCCTTCTCCTGTCGACTCTTCCCCTCCGGATCCTCCATCAGAGATTACTCCCATTGCCCTTCGTAAAGGTATTCGATCCACTCGTAACCCTCATCCACTTTATAGTTTCTTGAGTTATGATAGACTTTCTTCACCACATTTTACTTTTGTTTCTAGTATTTCATCTATTTCCATTCCTAAAACCACAGGTGAAGCACTGTCTCATCCAGGTTGGCGACAGGCGATGATTGATGAAATGCAAGCACTTCACTCCAATGGAACATGGGATCTTGTTCGTGCTCCTCCCGAGAAGTCGATTGTCAGTTGTCGATGGGTATTCACAGTCAAAGTTGGTCCTGATGGCACTATTGATCGCCTCAAAGCTCGATTAGTGTCTAAAGGATACACTCAGATTTTTGGTCTTGACTATGAGGATACTTTTTCTCCTGTTGCCAAGATGGCCTCGTTCGTCTGTTTCTTGCACTTGCCGCCATTCATCACTGACCCCTTCTTCAGCTTGATATAAAAAATGCCTTCTTACATGGTGACTTGCAGGAGGAAGTATATATGGAGCAACCACCAGGATTTGTTGCTCAGGGGGAGAGTTCTGGCATGGTATGTAAGCTTTGTAAATCTTAATATGGCCTGAAGCAGTCTCCTCGGGGCTGGTTTAGTCGCTTCAGTTCTGCTGTTCAGTTCTTCGGTTTAACCCGAAGTAAAGCAGATCATTCTGTCTTCTATCGGCATAGCTCTTCTGGACAGTGCATCTATCTCCTGGTCTATCTTGATGATATCATTATTACTGGCAGCGATCAAGCTGGGATTGATCAGTTAAAGAAGTATTTATTCAATCAGTTTCAGACCAAAGATCTTGGCAAACTTCGATATTTCTTAGGAATTGAAGTAGCACAGTCTAGACAGGGCATTTCCATTTGTCAAAGGAAGTATGCACTCGATATCTTAGATGAGACTGGTATGTTGGGATGTAAACCTATTGATACACCTATGAATCCTAATATTAAGCTATTACCTGGACAGGGGGAGCCATTGGCAGACCCTGGTCGTTACCGCCGACTAGTTGGAAAGTTGAACTATCTTACTGTAACAAGGCCAGACATCTCTTTTTTAGTTAGCGTGGCAAGTCAATTCCTTGACTCTCCTTGTGACTCTTATTGGGATGCAGTTATCAGGATTCTTCGATATATTAAAAAGGCACCAGGAAGAGGTCTATTATACACTAGTAAAGAGAATGCAGAAGTATCTAGCTATTCAGATGCTGACTGGGCAGGGTCTCCTTCAGACAGACGATCCACCTCGGGGTATTGTGTTCTCCTCGGAGGAAATTTGATTTCTTGGAAGAATAAGAAGCAAACTGTGGTGGCCAGATCAAGTGCAGAGGCAGAATATCGGGCGATGGGAAATGCAACCTGTGAGCTCATCTGGCTAAAACAATTGCTCAAGGAATTGCATCTCTGTGAACAACGGTCCATGAAACTCATTTGTGACAATCAAGTCGCATTGCACATATCCTCTAATCCAGTCTTTCATGAGAGGACTAAACATATAGAAATTGACTGTCACTTTGTTAGAGAGAAGATTCAATCAGGCGAGATCGAGACAGCATTTGTCAATTCCAGTGATCAACTTGCAGATGTTTTTACCAAGGCTCTTAGAGGTCCTCGAATAGATCATATATGTAACAAGCTGGGAGCTTATCATATATATGCACCAGCTTGAGGTGGAGTGTTAGAAATATTAGATATGATTAGATTTGAATAGATTATTTCCTATTTGTAAATATTCTGGGCTTCTCACTTAAGCCCACTAGGATCTCTATATATTTTAACTCTTTGTATTAGAACAATACACTATTGAACACAATTTACCTTCATTTTATTTAAGTAGAAATATAGGGAAAATGTAGCCTCTAAAACGCCCGGAGTAATATTATGGAACCTGTATCTGCCAATTCAGAAATGGAATACACTTCCTTGGCCCCAACTGTGGTGCTACTATGCTAGTAAAGTGAGTTTCTCATATCTTGATGGTTTGACATTATAAATTTTGTTCCACCAACCTTGTTCTATATGGGATAAACAAACGTGGTACATGAAGCAGTACACCGAAGATTTTTCTGCATTTTATGTATAAGAAAAGATTTAGCTTCATTTGTCAATATGGTCATTCTCCCCCCCCCCAAAAAAAAATTTCTGATCAGTAAAATCGTCCATGTAATTTTATATATTGTCCCATTTAGTAATATAATATAACATTATTCATTTCTCTTCACCTAACAATTTATGTTTTTAGAATAGTTGGTTCAAAACATAATATTAGAGCTTTTATGACCAAGTAGTTTAGAGCTCAATTCTTGCCGCTGTATTCTTCTCTTAAAAATTTGAATTTCACTAGGTGGGACTGGGCATTCTTCATGCTTCAAGCTTAAAGAATTCATCGTGATTTGAAAATTAATTCTTTCTGATTGATTTTAGGCAGATGATCTCAATTTTGCAGTTTCTGTTCATTGATATTTGTAGGTGGCAGTGCAAAAACTCTTATGATTGTAAATGTGTGTCCAAGTGTTTCAAATTTATCCGACACATTGTTGTCTCTCAGTTTCTCTGCCAGAGCTCGAAATTCTGCATTAAGCCTTGGAAACCGAGATACAATTAAGAAGTGGAGAGATGTTGTAAGTTCCCATTCCCATTTCTAGGTTTTATTTTCTTTTTTAATTCTTTAGCGTGAATTTTGTCGGAAGCATATTAAAATATTTACTATTATATATTACATTTGATAAAATTGTATGTGGATAGAATGATGTTGAGTGCAAACTAAGACTTGATTACTACAAATTTCTTTTTATATTGCATTGTATTTCTCATGGTTTTAATAGGCGAATGATACGCGTAAGGAGTTGTATGAGAAGGAAAAAGAAATCCATGATCTAAAGCAAGAGGGTCTAGAACTCAAGCAAGCACTTAAAGATGCGAACGATCAGTGTGTTCTACTCTTCAATGAAGTGCATAAGGCATGGAAAGTTTCTTCTGCATTGCAAACCGATTTAAAGGTTTGGCAATTTAATGTGCTTGGCATAGTTTTTCAGTTCTATACAGTGACAAGTTATTTGGTGGTTTGACAATATTATTTTCAGAATATGGGATGCTTGAGTTATGTTAATCCCTTGAATAATTCTATACTATTTTCTTGCTTATTGATAAAATTGTGTATTACATCTGTACAATTGCTCTATGTTTAAAGAGACTAAATAACCTAATGGGCTAAGCCCAAAAAAGATTCTAGAATGGAAATAAATAAATAAAGAAATAAACAAATACAATTATTTACAACACTTCCCTTCAAGCTGAGGAATAGATATTTATCATTCCCAGCTTGCTAGTAAGCTCTTGAAACCTTTCTGAGAGAAGTTCCTTTGTCAGAATATCAGCTAATTGACGTCCAGAAGGGATGTATGGAGTGGTGATTAACCCGCTATCAAGCTTCTCTTTGATAAAATGGCGGTCGATCTCAATGTGCTTAGTCCGATCATGTTGAACTGGATTATGAGCTATGCAAATGACGGACTTATTATCACAAAACAACTTCACAAGTCCTTCACATCTTATTTTAAAATCATCAAGTATAATTCTCAACCACAATAATTCACAAATGCCTTGAGTCATAGCTCGAAATTCAGCCTTAGCACTCGGTCTGGCAACCACATCCTGCTTCTTACCTCAATGTCACTAGGTTACCACAAAGAAACATACAATAACCAGTGGTAGATCACGATCAGTTACGGATCCAGCATAATCAGCATCAATATAAACTTCTAAAGAGAGATTGCCACTACGCCGGAACAACAGTCCTTTACCAAGAGTGGCTTTAAGATACTGAAGAATTCTCTTCACTTCCTGTATGTGTTTTTCTTTTGGATTATGCATGAACTGACATACAATACTAATAGCATAAGCAAGATTTGGTCTAGTATGAGCCAAATATATCAGTCCCCCAAATAACCGCTGATATTGTTCTTTATCAACTGGAGGACTCTCTTCTTCATGACCCATCTTGTGATTATGCTCAATAGGAATACTAGAGGGTTTACACCCAAGTTTTCCCGCTTCATTAAGAAGATCAAGGACATATTTCCTCTGGCTGATAAAAATTTCTTCCTTTGAATGAGCTACTTCTATCCCTAGGAAATATTTCAATCTCCCAAGATCTTTAATTTCAAACTGAGAGGCTAGCCATGCTTGTAGAAAATGTTTCTCCGCAATATCATCACCTGTTATAATTATATCATCAACATATACAAGGAGCACAGTTAGCTTCCCATCTTGGGAGTGCTTGAAGAATAGTGTGTGATTTTCTTGACTCTGTTTATATCCTAAGGCCAGCATAACCTTAGTAAATCTCCCAAACCAGGCACGAGGAGATTGTTTTAATCCATACAAGGCCTTTTTTAACCTGTAAACTTTATTTCCTCCATCCATAGAGCCAAGCCAGGTGGGATTTCCATGTAGACTTCTTCTTCTAGCTCACCATTAATGAAAGTATTCTTTACATCAAATTGGTTCATATCCCAATTGTAATGGGCAACAAGTGACAACAAAGCTCTCACAATATTCATCTTTGCAACTGGGGCAAAAGTATTTTCATAATCAATGCCATAGGTCTGAGTGTAACCTTTGGCAACTAACCGAGCCTTATATCTCTCAAGAGTACCATCAGAATTATATTTCAAGGCATAAACCCATCTGCATCCTACTGCTTTCTTTTCATAAGGTCTATCAACAACCTCCCATGTTTTATTTTTCTCCAAGGCATTCATCTCATCTTGCATGGCTCGAGCCCAATTCTCATCTTTTAATGCTTCATATACTGATTTTGGGATTGAGATAGAATCTAGTGCTGAAATAAAGCTTTTGTGCTGCAAAGAAATGTTAGTAGAAGAGACAAAATGAGAGATAGGGTGTTGGGTACAAGATCTTTTCCCTTTTCTTAGGGCAATAGGTAAGTCATCAGAGGTACTGGGTAAGCTATCAGAAGCAACATGCAAATCATTAGAGGCAACAATATTAGGTTCAAAAATAGGAGAAGTAATAATATTAGGATCAGAAATCAGAGATTCAGGACTTACCAGTGGTTCAGACGATTGAGGTTGCTAGTGAAGCAGTGTGTGCTGCTTTCTCCTGTGATGTACCATCTCAGGTGTCACAATCCTCCGTTTTTCCGATGTATCAATGGGTCAGACACAGAAGAATCAGAAACAAGATGAAGAGGTGTAGGAGAAGACATGAGAGGTCCAGACTTAAAGATAGAAGGTGATGAGTCTACTGAAGAATTGCTCTCCCCCTGAAGATGAGGACTTGGGAAAAATGACTCAGATTCATGAAATGTGACATTCATTGAGACAAAGAATTTCCGACTAGCAGTATGATAACACTTGTAGCCTTTCTTATTAGGGGCATAACCAAGGAAGATAAATTTAAGAGCCCTAGGATTCAACTTACTGCAAAGATGTTTAAGAACGTGGACAAAGACAACACACCCAAACACTCGTGGTTGAAGACTCTGCATAGAGAGAACAAAGGGAAAGAATGAAGTCATTGAGTGAATAAGACTTAAATTGTCAAGGATCCAAGAGAGAAAGCTGCAATAAGAATGACATCTCTCCAGTAGCACTTGGGTACATGATTCTGAAAAAGTAAGGCACGAGTAACTTCAAGAAGATGACGATTCTTCCTCTCAGCAACTCCATTTTTTGAGGGGTGTCCCCACAAGTAAGTTCATGAATCATGCCCTGATCTTGGATGAATTTGAAAAGACGCTGATTGACATATTTGGTACCATTGTCGGATCTTAGTCTTTTAATTCTTTTACCAAATTGGGTCTCAATCATTTTATAAAATTGAAAGAAGAACTGTGGTACCTCAGATTTTTCATGCATTAAATAAACTCAGGTTACAAGAGTGCAATCATCAATGAAAGAAACAAACCATTTATGCCCAGAAGCATGAGGAACTTTAGAAGGACCACAAATATCATAATGAACAAGATCGAAAGGCTCAACATTCTTTTAATGGTACTAGAAGGAAAAGAGACACGATGGTGTTTAGCAAACTCACAAACATCACAATGAAAACACTCAACAGATTTAGACAAAAATAATGATGGAAATAAAGACTTAAGCAAACGAAATGGAGGATGCCCCAAGCGTTTATGATGGAGCCAAATCAAAGAGTTGGCAGTAGACTGAGACTGAGTCAATAATGTTTGATCCTTAGCATACTTTGCAGAAGATTCTAGCACCAGATAGTATAGACCACCTTGCTTCTTAGCACCCCCAATTGTCTTCGCCGTTGCGAGATCCTGAAAAACACAGAGTAGGGAAGAAAGTTACAGTGCAATTCAAATCTTTGGTAATTTTATGGATAGAAAGAAGATTAGTGGAGAGTTTGGGAACATAAAGAACATTTTGGAGATGTAAGGAAGGCTGTAAATATATGTTACCGGAACCCGCAACTGATGTGTGTGAACCATCAGCTACGACTATTGTATGGGTGCCAATAGTAAGGTTATAAGAAAGAAAAGAGTCAGCACAACAAACCATATGATTAGTAGTACCAGAATCGATAATCCAAGAATGTTTAAATCAGTACAAGAAGTAAGAAAAGAATGAGTAGTGGAGCTCATACCAGTCATAGCTAAAGCACTAGTACTAGTTGGCTTACTTAGAGAATCAAGCATAGTCCGAATCCGCTCCAACTTATTTCGGCGAATAGAAATAAATTATGAAGATGCACCATTTGAACCCACCATAAAGTTGAGGTGAAAATCACGCAGGCGCAAATCCAAATGATGTTTGACCGAAGAGAAAACACAGATCTGGAAAGAGGGGACAAAACCGAGCAGTTCTGTCCTGGAACAGTTTTTTTTTTTTTTGCATGAACAATACCTCGTGAATAATGTGCGATGAACAGTACCTCGTGAACAGTGCCACGATAGAAAAAAAATCAAACAAAGTTCCTCTCAGTCTAAAAGATCGCCGAATTTTTTTTTTTTCTGATGGCGGCTTGATGGCGGTGAGAGGCAAACAAATAGGGTTCGGCTTTGAAGGCGGCAGTCGCGGAAGCAGAACCCTCAGAATCGAGAGCTTTGATACCAAGTTGAAAAAAGAGATAATCTTATTGATAAAATTGTGTATTACATCTGTACAATTGCTCTCTATTTAGAGAGACTAAATAACCTAATGGGCTAAGCCCAAAGAAAATTACAGAATGGAAATAAATAAATAAAGAAATAAACAAATACAATTATTTACAACAATTCTATACTATTTTCTTGCTGCAAAATGTTAAAAAGAATATTAATATAACATTTGAATGAGTTTGTTGACTAGATACTCACAAACAAAGTGATAAGATTCAACGGGAAAGGAGGAGATAAAAATGACAAGAAAAACATAATATCTTATTATTAATGACTGATATCTGTATGGAATCAATGAAAACAATATAAAACGCAATAAAAGGGGAAAGAAACCTTGTTATATCATTTTTGAGAGGCTCATGCTCTTTTCCAACTCTCCATTATTACTAGAGCTAACAAGACGGGCAACTCACCCCACCTGCAACCAGCCAAAAAAGGCCAAACCGCCCCATCATATTTATGAAAAAAAGCTAAAAAAATTTAACCCGCCTCTTTTTATGGTTGGCTAGCGGATCAACCCACCTAAATTCCAATTCATTAAATTTATCTTTGAAAAATAGAACATATGTCAAAATGCACAACTCATGGAGTCAATAAGAATTGAAGGAGGAGTTAATGAAGACAACAACCATTCTATAAACGCATTTCAAATAGTGGTGGATGAAAAGAATAAGAATCTTAGAAGAACAATTTGGTAGGACATGAAACCAAGTGCAACTACATGTTGGCTATCTGCTATCCACTTGAAACTTTATTAAGATATAGCAAATGATAAGAAGGGTGGAAGCACTTCAAAGATTTAACATCTTGGGAACTTTACCGTTAAACCTTTGATTAGCAAAAGGAACATCTCGA